GGCCCGGGGCCACCGGGAGCAAACCCGCAGCCGCGGCGGGGTCCCCGCGCTTCTGAGGCTTTGCCAGATCATAGTCTGAAAGTGAATTGGCATAACCATATATAACAAAGGAATACAATGAAGAAAGTAAACAGATTATAAACTAACAAATCAGCTACTAGAACAGAAGGTGAGGGAGGAAGGGGCAAGGAAGAGACAAGGAAAGAGAAAATAGCTTATTGTAAATCAGTAAGTGGCTAATCTGGAGTTACTACGAATATCAAAAGGTGGGGAGGCTGTCTTTGTAATGTGTAACGTAATTAGCATCTTTATTAAGGTCCAATTTGCAACCTGTGTAATTTAAGCATAAATACAATTTCTGAAGTCTCCCTCTGTAATCTGGTGTTAAAGTTTCTTTGAAGTAAGAAGCATGTTTTCAGGTCTTTAAGGAAATGGCCAGTTAGATTAAAATGTTGACTAACAGTTTTTTCTTTGTGGAGATGCCTGATTTGTGGGCATTAATTCTTCGGTGAAATGACTGAGCAGTTTATCCAATATACATCGCAGAGGGACATTGCTGGCACATGATAGCATATATCACACTGCTGGATGTACAGGAATATGAGCCCTTGATCATATAACTGACATGGTTAGGTCCAGTGATGGTGTCTCCAGAGTAAATATGTGGACAAAGTTGGCAACAGGGTTTGTTGCAAGGGAAAGTTCCAGAGTTAGTTTTAATGTGGTATGTATGCCCTGTGGTTGTTAGTAAATCTTCCTGAGGTTAGGTGGTTGTCTATAGGAGAGCATAGGTCCGTCACCCAGAGCCTCTCGGAGTGTAGTATCCTGTTCCAGTATAGGTTGTAGGTTATTGATAATGCTTTGGAGGGATTTAAGTTGGGGGCTATAGTTGATGACAAGTGGTGTTCTATTGTTGGTTTTCTTGGGCCTATCTAGAAGTAGATGGTTTCTGGGTATTCATCTGGCCCTTTCAATTTGTTTTTTTTTATTTCCCCTGCTGGGTAATTGAGTTTTACAAATACTTGGTAGAGATCTTGAAGTTTATGGTCTCTGTCACTGGGATTGGAGCAGATGTGGTTGTATCTAAGGGTATGTCTACACTAGCCCCCTAGTTCGAACTAGGGAGGCTAATGTAGGCATTCGAACTTGCAAATGAAGCCCGGGATTTAAATATCCCAGGCTTCATTTGCATGTTCCCGGGCGGGCGTCATTTTAAATCCCCTTAGTTTGAACTGACTGCTACACGCGTGGCAGTCAGAAATTAATCCGAACTAAGTCCTTAACTAAGGTTAAGTCACAGAATCGGAGACATTTTCTGTTTCAGCCATGGAGCAGGAGCCTCCGGGGTACTCCTGGAGTCGCAGGAGCCCTGGGTGCTGGGACAACTCTCTCCATTTTATCCCAGTTACTTTTAGCGAACTATCTGTGCCTTTTACTAAAAATAACAGTGGCAAAATCTTAAACCTTAGATCATAAAGGCTGTTATAGAATACCCCAAGCAAAGAATGTTTTTGCCACCTCCCTTCCCCCTCCTGCCCCCCCCCCCAGAGGCCTGGAGTCGCAGGAGCCCTGGGTGCTGGGACAACTCTCTCCATTTTATCCCAGTTACTTTTAGCGAACTATCTGTGCCTTTTACTAAAAATAACAGTGGCAAAATCTTAAACCTTAGATCATAAAGGCTGTTATAGAATACCCCAAGCAAAGAATGTTTTTGCCACCTCCCTTCCCCCTCCTGCCCCCCCCCCCAGAGGCATGAG